AAATATATTTCGCGGGTATGCTTCAGGGGCATGTTGCGGGGTATGTTTCGCAGGTGTGCAACCCGTGTCATCCGTGTCTTCCCCCCCAGAACCAACTTTTCCGGCTACCCACTTTTGCCCAGGGCGCCTGTTCCTGCAAGTATGCGCAACGCATACACACTCCAAAGTGAAAGCTTTCTCTGTGTGTTGCACTTCGAACACCACACAGCCCCCATTGCTAGCAGGCCCACATGTCACAACGTAGCTTGCGTTGTAGCTAGGCGACTTAGAGACAGCCACACACGGGCAGAAACTGGACCCTAGAACCTGACCAAAAGCCCTATCCCAAGCCTTGAAACTAGGGCAGGGATGTTACCTCTAAGAAGAGAGGTTCCAGCGAAGAGTCCAGGCCCCCACTCTCCAACAGGTCCAAGTGGCTGGGCACCTGCCTGGATCAGCGCCCGCGCAGTCTGCGGCTGCAACTGGACAGGGCCCCAGGAGTTCCAGGGCCAGGATCCAGGGTTTGTGGCGTTTCGGATGCTGTGGGCTGCTGTGGGGGTTCAAGGGCCCAGGGCGCAACGCAAACCAAGCAAAGCAGAACACCCAAATCTCTCCGACAGCGTGCCTTGCTCCTTGTGTGTCAAGCTAAACTTCGCTAATCCCCACGCCTCCATGGCAGCGTGTCCCTGCCCTCGACCCGGAAAATGCAATTCTGAAGAGCCCAAAACCCCATCATTCTCCTTCAAACTTTTGACAAATGTGAAAGCAACTTTTCTTTCTCGAGTGCTTTCTTCACTGCCTGGCAGGCTGCATGATGCAGCGGCGTCGCACCGGAGGAGTCGCGCTGGTGGGGGCTCGCACCTTTGAACTTCGATCTTTCGGGCTGTTTTCTGTGCCCTTCGAGGCCACTACTCTATGGGCGCTTTTGAAAAACTCGTGCCCTCGCTTGAGGAGGCACTGCATGAGTTTCGGATTTTAAGCACAGGCGTGAACAATTGAATTCAGAGTGTTGGCCAAGTCCTGCATGACACAAACTACCAGCTTCATCGCTCAAGACTTCCTTCGCCGCGATGGACATTAGAGAATATTAGCAATCCCTATCATGTGCCAGGGCTTCAAAACCTCCCCCGATGGCACGACAGTGTCCACTGCCCTGACCGCGAAGCCCACGAAGCCCTCGAAGCCCTCGAAGCCCGCGAAACCCACGGAAGAAGACCGGGGCCGCAGGCGCCCTGCCTCAGCATGACAGTCCGTTCACAATTTCCACGTTCCGATGGGATGCCCCATGCTGCTGAGACGTCATCGAATCCATGAACCCGGAGTCTCACGCGGCATGCTCTCTATTCCCCGCTGTGCACGCGGCTAGCAGGCTCTTCGTCACGTCCACTCGGCCTCACTTGGTCCCAAGGGGCTTCTTGGTTGACAGGGTTTATGGGGCTTGGGGCCATAGTCAGTTTTGGGAAAGATGCGACAGTTTGTGGTCAAGTGGTTGAGCACTACCAGCTTCAGAATCCGACGGCAGCACCCTCATGCTGATCTACAGCATCAATGGTTGCAAATCACGTGGGCCAGGCTCATGTCAGCCTGTATTTCTTCAGCACCCTCTCAGCCCTCTCAAGGTGCGCAAAGCTCCGAGGGAATCCAAAGAATCCTCAAGCTGTGGAACTCTTGACTCTTTTGTGGGCTCAGCGGGCTCAGTGGGCTCACCTTCAATGACCATCTGCACCAGAGCTGTCCGCCCTTCCAAGCCAGGCCTCAGATTCTCGCAAACATTGTGCTTGCTTTTCTGATGCTTGTCTGCCTCCTCGTGTTTCTTGCATTGCTTGGGCACTCGTGCTACGAAAGAAGTGGTCCACGGCTGGAGATTGGTCTCCTGAACCCCTAAGGCACGACGGCAAACTCCCCAAACCTAAACCGTAACACACCACCCGACTCGAACCGTCTCTAAGTCCTACAGTAAGTCTACGCATCCCCGTAGGCAGCTGGCGAGTTGGGATCTGCCCGCTCCCCGACGCGGATGAAGCCGTCGTCATACTTTCCTCTACATGGCTCAGGGAACTGTCCAAATGACCGCAGTCTCCGGTCGCCGCGGTCCTGCGCAAAGATTTCGGGCACCCTCCGGCGTGAGGGAGCCGCCAACCTGAGCTTGGATTCTACGGTTACTACGCTTCTACCCGGAGATGTTCATGATGTTCCGGTTGACCTTGAACTGGGCTGCTGCAGCATCGAAGCGATCGAAGCAAAGTCTTGGTCTCGCCAAAAAAATTTCTCTGTTTGGGTGTGTGCAGCAATGACGGGGGGCTCCCCACCCTGGAGAGAAAAGGGAGCCAGGCAAAAGGGGAACAAGGGATCCGGAAGACCCCAACGAGTTGTCGGCCTATTTGGGATCTGGCAGATCTCAGAATCCTCGAAAGCTAGCTGCCAGAAGATATTTCTCGACTGCTGTGGTGGATGTTCCCTATGGGACCCCCCAATTGAGAATGGAATCCTAGGGCCCCGGCCATGGGTGATGCGAAGAGGCGCATGGCGATGCTCGCCTCATTGTTTCTTATTGTCCGTAAGCTGACTTGTGCGGAGTCTTGGATGATCCAAGTCCAACAGCATCTAACTCAGAACGGCCCTCTTACCTGAACGGGCCAGGCTCCCGGGCGTTGGAGCTGAAGGGCGAAAGATCGTAGATCCTCCGCTGCACCTCAAGGCCGTAACGTCGGCCCAGCCTCAGGAAGCTGTATACAACGCCGTATACGTTTACTGAATCTGAAGTTTACTGTAACGCTTGGGGTAACCATGCTTAGCCTTACAGTTACTAGTGCCCTTTCACCTTTCGCTGCAAAGGTTGTTCGCCTCCACACACATGCAGTAGAATACATTCTAGTAGCCTACTGCTGACAACCCCCCCGACGCGGCCATCAGACTGGGCCCCCAGCTGCGTGAGCATCAGGTCAGCGGCATTCTCACCTGCTTCTGGTAGGGCTTGCATTGATTTGCATTGCAGGGCATTTGTTTAGCACACAAGCATCTTCGTTGTGCCTGCTGCCCAATGGAACATGTCGCCGAGGTCCACGTGTCTGTGCCTTGGAGCACTGAGGCTTCGCGCTACTCAACTTCGCTCCTCTTTGCCCGCCTAAAGGATCTCAGATTGCCTCCTCATTCATTTTAGCATCCTTAAGCCCTTCGCAATTCACCCCCTCCATGATTTAAAACCGGTCGGCAAGGAGTGTCTTGTCCTGAACACTGCAAGAGCTCAGAAAACTCGAAGCTTAAAATCCTCGTTTCTGAGCCCTGCACAGTGCCTCGAGGCATTCGTAGTTCTGCAACCTCCGACAGTTTGGGTACGGACTCAGCGACATTCTGCCAGTCGGTACTAACAACCCGTTTTCAGGACGGTTGCCAACCGTTGCACCGTTTTCCAAGACAAGAGACATGGAGTGACTTACGGGCGCTGCACTGCACAGCTTTGAAGATGCGCAAGCTGTGGAAACACTGTGGAAACAGTGTGAAAACAGTGAAAACCATCTCCCTGCACAGCATCTCCGCAGCATCGCACGCCTTGCGGCGAACCGCAGAGGAACCTCGGGGGAAATTTCGAGGTTTTGTCTCGGGACTCTCGGGCTCAAGTTGCTTTGGGACTTGTTTGGAGCCAGAGCTTGGGTTTGGATTTGAAGAAGGACTCGGTAGGTTCAGAACGCGAGTCTAACAAGGATTTCGGCATCCCAGTGGAAAGTCTGGACCCTGAGCATCCCACTATTTGAACGTGAAAAGCTCCTTGAACTTTGAACCCCCGCGTTTTACAGCCCTTCCAAGCCCATCCCACACTTCAGTCCAAACCTGTCCCAAACCACGGGCCCCCCGACTAGCCGGCCAGTCGGCATCTGTCCGCCTAGCAATTGGGATTGGCTTCCTTCGCTTCTTTTCCTACTCCGCGGATTGGTTTCAATACGTGGGTCTCGGCTTCGTTTTGTTCTTAGCGTTGTGGCATCCATTTCTCAGCCATGACTTCTCACTTTGTTGCCTGGCTCGTTGTTTCTTGCTCCCTTGTAGCGTTGCGTTTGTTCTATTCAGTATCTGTCGTGCCTTTGATATTGTCAATCTTCTCTTTCCCTGTAGCAGCACTCTTCGCTTTTGGCTTGTCCGTCTTCTTCGTGGGCCCTTGGCTTGGGGTCTCAGGGCAGCTTGACGACACTTGGGCAGCTTGTAGAATCTGGCCCTGATGCAAACACAACACAACTCCCATTCTTCGACTAGCATGACTCAGAAACTACGGTATTATAAGCTGGCACTGAGCTGGCGCCAAGAAACAAATGGCGGCAGCTTCTCAATCGCCTTGGGAGCCTTTTGAAATCCCGAGAGCCCTCAACTCCGGAACGCCTCGAGCCCCACACAAGCAGCCGTAAAAGGAGGATGGCAAAGGAACAGCAAAACCTTTCAGTTGAAGTTCTCAAACACAGGCCGAGAGACATTCGCGGTGTACATCTGCCCCGGCCATGATCAAAACATCCATTGCCGCCGCGATCTGCACAAAAGCGGACTTGCAAGTCCCTCGACAAGGATGAAAGATGATGAAAGAGTTGGTCACCCTGCTCAAAAACAAGGAACTTCTGAACGCTAAGGTGAGGAAAGACCAAACTCCTGTTGATGGGGCAACCGCAGCTGCCGCAGCTCGAATCACATGACCCTCGGTTTTGTTCTGGTGCTCGGACTATGTACATCTCGGGGACTCACGATTTCCCGAGCTGTAAGCAGCCTCGAGGGGGCACAAGGCATGGCCTTCGCAAACCAAGTCGCCATGCAATTCCCTCTTCGCCTCTTCGCTGCGTGAGCTTCCCAAAGCTTCAATTACGGGCCATCTGCATGGCCCGTCCAAGCCTTCAAGGTGAGCTTCGAGACTACAGCAAGCGAACCCAACTTGAGCGCTCCCCTCCCCTTAGTTGGGGGGCGCTAGAAGGGCTTGGCAGAGACTCTCCCGCTAGGGGCTCCCTCCAGGGCAAGCGGTCCGACACAACGGTCCCTGCGGCTCAGAATCAGCAGGAGGGATGATGGCAGTCGCGAGCTTCACAGCTGGTGTCCTCGGTTGGGAGTTGGGATGTTGTGTTGTGGTCGAAATTTGGAGAGTTGTTCTGTCGCCACCAAGCAAACGGTTCTGTTGTGTAGGGTTCCGCGCTCTCAAATCATCGGAATCATGCAGCGATCAGACGATCCCACGTACATGAACGTAATGAATACTAGACCTTGAACCGAACCTATCGTTAAACAAATGAGGCGGAACGTCATAAACGGACCCCTGCAATAGCCAGAGACCTCTCTGCGAATCTACTCTTCGATTCGTGCGAAGAAGTGGACTGCGAGGCGCCTCCAGCAAAGGCGCGCGGAGGCGGTGCCTGGGCCGCTGCCGCGCTGCCAGCCAGACACCTCTCGATTGCGCAGGAAGTTTTTCGGGGGAAGGCGGTGGGGACAATCTTTTAGGTCTGCCTATGGGCCTGTGGTGGGGGTGCAAATTAAAAGCAGGGATGTAAATCTATGACGACAACGGCAGAAGCGAAAGCCAAGCGTTCGGCAAGCCGGAGGCGCGGGGATTTTTGACAGAGTTGAGGACCCAGTTACGCCCTACGTGAGGACCGACGGGCTCGCGGAAGACCAGCTTGCATCTCAGAAAAGAGGTGGTAGGGTTCAAAGCATCAGGGGTATGTACCCTTTAGTTTGAAACCATTCCAAGTCAGAATGTCAAGCGTCTGGCCTGCAAGAAGGATTGGGCTCGAGAGCACAAACATCGACCAGGGATCTGTGAGCCTGCAGCCGGGGGCGTATGTAGCAGGTGCTGCTCAGCAACGACACCTTGTGCACCGCACTTCGCCTTAAAGCCAAGGCTGGGGCTCTCTTTTTCGCTATTTCACTTTTAGTAGAGCTTGTTATTTAAGTCGGTTCAAAACAGTCGTCGGCGCAATCCCACTGAGCGCGTTTCGCTTTCACAGTCGGTTGGTCACAGCACCATTTGACGCTTTGTCCCGATGACGTGTGGTTTCACTGCTATGTTCTACGCCTCTACACTTGCTATGTTCGTTCTACCTTTCAAGTGGAAGCATGTTTTGCACTCTCTCTCTCTCTCTCTGTGAAACTCTTTCTCTATGTCTCTTTTCGTTCTCTTCTCCACGAACCTTTAGGAGAGACGCGACCCGCTTCGAAGAGCTGGCTCTCCTTCGCTCTCTCTCTCTCTCTCTCTCTCTCTCTCTCTCTGCCAATCGGTTCCATCAGCTGGTATGAGAAAGTCCGAGAGCTGATGTGAGTCCGAGAGCACCAACGAATCGAATCTCTGCTAGAATACACAATGCCCACAGTTAAAGACTGTTGCAGAGCTTCGGATGTCAATATTGCGTTCAGTGTTCAGAGTGTTACGCCAATTGGTTCCTTCTCCTCAGCAGTCCAGGCACCACCTTCCCACACGTCTGAGCAGCACTTCGCCTTTTCAGCAGCGCGAATTGCTGTGCACCCTGCGACTCGAAAGAGGCGAAAACATGGCGAAACCTAAATCGGTTCCAGCAGCCTCGCAACGGAAACCTGCAGATCCTCGAGCTGTACACATCTGTACACACTTCCCACACTTCCTCTTACAGTTGACACGTGTTGATTGCGACTAGTGCGACTAGGATCTCCAGGGCTGGTCGCTGCCACATTTGATCCAGGAGGATTGCGCAACTATTGCGCATCGTTCTGTACTGGACTCCAAAGGGCTTCTGCGGCGAGGGAGGGCTGGCAATTGACAGTTGCCATCTCTGTGGCCTCCACTTTACCTGACAGAAAGATGCTAGGACCGCTTATCCTTGCCACGTCTTGCGTGAGTAATGGTGGGTACATCTTAATTTGCTTGCTTCTTTGAAAGATCTTCGATGCGTGCCACACACTCCCGATGACCTCATGATGCTTCTCTGTGTGTGTGTGTGTGCGTGTGTACATCCCGTGATCATGACACAGTTACGTGCCACCGCACACTCGACTGCTCTGTAGCTTGGGATTGTACGCTACAACACGATTCACTTCTGTTTAATTGCTGATGCTACGGGAACTGGGGTGGCATTGCAGCCCTCCTCTTGCTCATGATATAAGACACCCCCAGATGCCGAGCTGCAGGAGCGTGAAACTTTGTCCACAGGAATCATTTTACGGAGGCACTGAAACGTGGGTCTTGGGTAGGGGTTTCCTTGACTTCATTTTTGCGTAATGATGCTGTAGCGGGTGGAAACTTGGCCTCCGACTCGGAGGGGTAGCTTAAAGAGGGAGAGCAGTGCTGACTCAGTGCTGACAATGCCGGCTGTAGCCCGGGAATCATACTAGTTACTAGCAGCTACTCGCAAATCCCCCTCAGCGCTCGCCGGGTCCGATCTGGCGCGCGTGGCCGTGGTGGAGGGCTTGTTCGCTGGTGGCGCCGCAGTGCTCGTCCCTGATACTCCTTGTGCGATCAAGCTCGGAAATCCGAACACCTTCCCAAAAGGCAACAGAACCCCAAAAGACCGGATACGGTACGCCCAAGAGTAGCCGCAGCCCTACTTGATGCTAGGCAATTGGGAACAGAGCCCTTCCGATCAAATAGCTCCAACTGATGAAGAAGTATACCATGGTATACCATAATATGCCACAGTATGCCAGTATATGGTCAGTACAACAGATGTCATGCCTTGGAGCCAGAGAATTTCAAAACAAGCACAAAAAAGGATTTGAAGGATTTGAGTTTGCACTGGTATAGAAAGCGAAGCTGAAAGAAGCGCCGTGAGGCTTCGGCTGCCTTGTGAAAGAGGCGAGCAAAGCCCCCGTTATGCTTGCAAAGCTGGCATCTCTCGGAACGAGCCTGGGCTACGAGGAGCACTGCAGACTTCAGGCGTGAGTACATTACGTGAAACTCCTCGGTTGAGCGATGTGAACAGCGGGGGGGGGGGGGGGGGGTGTCCTTGACCTTGCAAGGCTCGCCTAAGAAAGTGATTCCTGAACTGCAGAAGAGTGTCTGGCCGGGGCTCCTGGAGACCCCTAAGAGTCCGCAGAAGGCCTTTCCCAGATAGACCCAGTCCGCGAGCTTAGCGCGCACACTGCCTAAGAAGCCGTGCTCCTCCGCCATCTTGGGAAGGGGCGAGGCTGGATTCGGCTGTGGACCGAGCTGAAATGGCGGAGGCACGGGACGCGCAGACTTTTGAGGTTTGGGCTCAGAGAAATTGGGTGCAGGAGGCCCTGAAAATGAAACCGGAGATGAAGCCCCATTTGTTCAAGGCGCTCTGAATAAGCCCTGAAGCCAAGATAAGACAAGACCTCGGGAGCCTCGGCAATCGACCGGCTGCCTTCCAGGTCTGGATGGGCTCCTCAGCGGTCGTGGGGACCGGCCTCGGAGCAGAGTCATGAATGATGTTTACGGATTTTTGTGGGGAGGGGGGGGGGGGGGGGTTTGGATATTGGGGAATCACTTCGGCTGGTATTGGGTTCGTTGAGAGGCGTCGAGAAAAAAGTTCCAGCTTGGGGCCCCGGCCGCGGAAGCAGCGATCGCAGCCGCGAGAAGAGCGGCACGCCCAACCCTGTGGTGGGATCCTCGCACCAGTAACTAGTAGGCTTAGGAACAGTATACATGGGTTTCTGATTCTGAGAACTTATATCAATTTTTAAAGGCCTGTGAGACTTTTCCGGTTGACTTAGGCATCACAGCCTTCAAACGGGTTTAAGCCAACGGGCTGTTCTCGGAGCTTTGGGCGACCCATTGACGGCTTCACTAAGAACACACACACACACACACACAAAACAAGTTGACGCCTCAAAGCCGAACCCAAGAGAGATCCGGAGGATGTATTGCTGGGATTCCTATCAATATTGAATATGATCCATTTTCAGAGGAGTCTCATGGTTCTTCAAATTCTTAGAATCCTAGTTAAAAAACAGGAATCATACTAGATATTATGAAAATTAATAGGAGTCACATTCACATTAAGAAGGTCCCAGGAAATAAATCTGCGGGCTGAGTTCGCCCAGAAGTGGGAGACCTAACCCAAATGAGCCAGGAAGCCCACCCAGGACCAGCACGGAATCCCACTTTGCAGAGGTGATCCTGCAGGGGGTTTTTACAAGGTCTCAGGTTCTTGTACGATGAAAGGCTTTGTAGGAGATGTGTAGGATTGAGAAACCGTGGAGTCCGTGAGCCGGGCTTCTGCATCTACTGCACCTCTCCCCTTCCCAGGGGAACCTCCGTGGAAGCGGTGTCCCCGACCACAACCTCTGAAAGACGCGAAATGGCTCGCGGCTTCGGGTGTATCGTTAAGTGGGGCCGTGGCACTCTCGGTGTGGACTTGAGATGCCACCGGCGCCTACATGTCGAGTGGATGCTGCCCTGTGACTGACCAAATCTTGACGCAGAGGGGCATCGAGGAAAGCTTCTGGATGATCGCGGTGAACCTTCTGCGCAGGAGAGGCTGCTTGCGCGCCCGACCCTCCACCCCAAAAAGAGCTTTACAAGGCTCTACAAGGAATCGGAAGGTCATTTGCAATTCGTTGTCGCACGAGCCAGTTTGCAAAAGCTGCAGCCAAAGAGGGGGACTACACAAAGACATTGAAGCACTCCCGACTTAGCTCTCGCTGTGATGGTGTCGTTGGGTTCGGGTTGCAAGGGCTGAGCCATCCCGATGCCCGAAAACAAGCCCAATAAAGACTCAGTGAGCCCCTGCCTGGTAGAGCCAAGGATTCAGCAAACCCAGGGAGGGCCGCCCTGCGCGGCGCTGGGCCTCGTTGAGACGCGAGACCTGGCTCAAGTGATGGCTACCAGTGCGAAGTATATACAGGGCTTTTGGGGCTTTAGGGTGGCGACTTCAAGGAACAGCCCCTGAAACCAAAGCTTGGTTGATGAAGCCACTCGTGCGCTTATGATATTGCACTCCGGCATGGGGCAACCTTTTCGGTTTTGAACATGCTTCAGTAATAAAACCCCCCATGTAACAAGCACAACAACACCGAGCGAACAAGAAATAGAATATAGAGCGCCGCCGCGGCGCCAACGCCGCCAGGGCCGGCGCGGAGGCCGAGGTTCCATCGAAGGAGAGGACGCTTTTGTTGACCACAGTCTCAGCTGAGCGCCCATCGCTTTTGTAGGGGCATCTGGCTTTGGTGAAGCTGTTTAGGGCTAAAGTTTAGGGCTTGCGAGCAAGCGTTGGATGCACCTTGAATTTGTGATTGGGGTCACCGCTTTAGGGAGCTTGGGGCTTTGGTTCACGTCCGAAGACTCCCTGCAGCCACAGAGGCCGGGTAGCTTTGCCCCGGAAGGGCCACGTCCTGCGTGAACAGCAACCACACTGCTTGCCGTGAGTACTCTTTGCCTGGCAAGTCGAAAGCCGAAGCCATCTCAGACCGAATTCCATTAGATTCATTCCATCAGGCTGCAAGGCCCATATAACCTCCCCTAGCCCTGAAGCCGAAAACTGCCTTTGCCCAAAGCCACCTAGACCTTGCCCCTGCAACCCATGCCCCCGGTCAGGTGCTGCTCGACTTCGCCGGACCAGGGGTCGTAAAGGGCAGCCGGAGCGGTTCACCTCGGCTTTGGGTTTGGAGCTTTAGGACTTTAGGAAGCATGGCGTACTTGATTCATACCTTCGAGACAACTTTACACTCTTCATTTTGTTGCGCGCTGTCTGAGGACCTCTGCGGACTTCTGGGCTGCTCGTCGGACTCCAGCTTCGGCCCTCATGTTGTTCTACTATGTTCTACTATGTTCTACTGCCGCGCTGCCGCGCTGCCATGGAGCCAATCTCAGATCCATCAAAATGCGACGAGCAGCGTGCTGGCACGGAATCTCGAGATGATCTACCTCGGAAACACATAAACCTACACCCTAAAGCAACGCTAGGGGCAAAGGCAGCAAGGGATGGGAAAAATGATGGCTTGGGGGGCATGGCTTAGGACGCAGGAAGCTTGTGCGCTGGGTTCCTTAAGTTCCTTCAGGAACAAACCTGAACGGAATGGGGCGAAGTACAGGATATCACAACAAAGATAGATCTGATCCAACCATGTCCCAAACCCTGAACCAAGAATGCAAACTTACCCCGAAAACGCAAAATATGCAGCCGGGACCCTTCGTCAACAGAACTCCCCAAGGCGCCCCATCCCGAACGCAAAAATGCACAGTACTGTTCGGGGAGCTGCTTGCTTCTTGCAGGACTTGAAATTGAAAGGCTTGAAAGCTTCTCACACTGCGTCCAGGGGCATGCTGGGAGTCGTTGCGCACATGGCAAGGAAGACACTCCTGGAGCCATCAGGCTGAACAAGGGACCATCGTGTGGATGCTAACCTGCTACGAGCTAGCGTGAGTGCCTGAGCGCATGAGCTAGCTTCACAATATGCCGTTTGCTAAGCTTGCAGCTTGCTGTCTGTATGCAGAATTGCGCAGAGGAGGGGTTACGGCTCCGAGAGTGCACCCCGAATGCACCCCTAAGGCCTAGCTTGGCACTTCTCTGGACACTTGTGTCATCTCCAGTTGGATGCACACGATACAATTACACGATGCGCACGTCAAATTGAGCCTTGAGCCTTCGCTCCAAGAAGCCTCTGACTTGGCGCTTTACACATCTCACAGCCGCTGACTTGACTCCTCATCACTCCTGTGAAGGACCCCACCATGCTCAAGAAGCGCTACTTAGGGCTGAGCCAGTCTTCAACCTACCTGCACGCCTCCAGCTGTGTTTAGCAACTCAAAATCACGTACTGGTATCATGAATAACTATAACTGCCTCCCTGACTTCTTGCAAGGCCCAGTGTCTGAGCTGCTGAGGAAGACCTCAAGGGCCCGATCCTCGCGCAGATTGGCTCTTGACAAGCTCATGACACTTGAATTCGCTTCGGGGCCATGCCCCCTCTCATCCGCAACACAATGTGCTTCGACCCGCCAGCGCAACGCTGCTACAACGGCGAATCCTGGGAATCCTAGCCTTGCAGACTTGCAGTGGGCTGCAGTGCCCTGTTACAAGGAATCGGCAGCTCACGACAGGTCCTGATAGCTTGGCCGAGAACGGTAGATTGAGAAGTAGCCGGAGCTTGTGATCAGCGCGCCCTGCGTCCACGGCTCAAGTTCATGAAGCTTTTGAGCCGTAGCCCCAAGCTACATTGCAAAGCTACGGTACGCCCTCATGCAAGCCATGCGCTCGTTGGCTCTCACCTCATACTGGGTATCATGGCACTCCGGCCTCGCTGGTCGAGCAGACCACCTCAGGGAAAAATGTCTATATTATGTATATATATATATATATATTATAGTATAGTATAGTATAGTATAGTATAGTATAGTATATTATAGTATATTATATATATATATATATATATATATATATTGTATATATATATATATTGTATATATATATATATATATATATCAGAATTCTCAAAAGTTGAGGTTGACGAGGTTGAGCCCTGCATTGGTGATGGGGAATGTGGCTCAGGGTCCTTAGGTTTGAAGGGTTTTCAGTTGAGCTGATGGCATAGGAGTTGGAGCTGGGGGGGGGTTTGACATGTCATCCAAGAAGCACGTCAAGACGGGCACAGAGAGGCTAGTGCGCTTGCCATGACGATACTGGCCAACATGTGTGTCCAACCTATGCTGGCATGAAGGTTACATCCTGAACCTCACTGCGAACCCCTGAACCCATGAGCTGAAAAATAAACAACCTACGGATTATCCCCAACAATGCCAAAGGCACCCTAAAATCAGTTGTTGCACTTTCCAGACTTAAGGGAGAAGAGGATGGGAGAGGCCTGCCCCGGCTCCACACATTGGCCGAACTGCTCTTGGAAGGACCTGTTTGAGCCGGTTCCCTCCCCCCCCCCCCCCGCACAATTGTGGGCGCGGTTGCTGTAACAAACTTCCCCCTAAGGTCATCCTCTCACCTCAAGCTCTCAAAGACCGAAAAGACACCTGTCAGCGCACGCAAACTGCTGAGGGGCATGGAAGAAACCCTCTTCAAAGCAAAGAAGAGCCAAGGATATCTTAGAATTTCGATAGAAATAGATGAAAAATCATAAAATAGTAAAAGAAAAAAGATCTGGCTCAACCGGCACAGGGTTTTTTGGAGATGCAGAATGCTTGGGTGCGGAGGAAATCTTCTCAAAAACCAACATGAACCGAGAAATTCTAGGATTTCGACTAGAATTAATACAAAAGTAGCCAAATAGTAAAACAGTAAAATCCTGGCTTAAGCGGCACACGTAGTCATCGAGATGCAACCTGCTGGGAGCGTGAGGACATCTTCTGAAATGTAAATAAGAACCGAGCAAGTCTTTGGATGTCGACTGAAATAGAAAAGTAGTGAAATGGTATACACTAAAATCCTGGCTCAACCGGCACAGGTGGGTTTTCGAGATGCACACGGCACGGTGCCACGCATTTCGGGCGCTAGCTTTGCATCTCGAAAGCAACCTTGCATGTCGAACGCCACAGACCCCAAAAAAAGAGATGGTACTGATGCCATCGAAACTCAACGCATGAATGCTGATAGCGTTGGGTGTACGTAGAGTGAAGGCCTCGCTGTACAATACGGCTTTGATTCCAGTGAGGGCATCGTGGCGCCCACAGAGGTCACCTGTCGTCTTTAGGGTGCTCGTCTCTTGGGTGCAACTGGCTGCTAGTGGTGCTGGGCTGCTTGACTCTTCCATGCAAACAGGTCCAGGAAAACTCACAAACTCTCGCTCTCGCTCTGTACGTGTCCTCAGCCGCACATGTTAAGAGTCGAAGAGGCCGAGGCCAAGCTGAAAGCACACAGATAAACTTTCTTCTCGTCTCTGTGCAGTTTCTTAACGCTTGCGAGTTGATGTTCTGTGCCGAAAGGCCCAGGGGGAGGTGCCCGCCAGGTCGGGTAGGAAGTCGCAGTCGGTTCCCACGGCGCTGTTCCTCTCTGTTGGGCTTCGGCATGTGCAAAAAAAAACATCGCCGGCAGTTCTACCAACTTTACTCGGGCTGCGTGGTCTTGCGAATCCCAGTCCCAAGACTGAGAGCATGGAGAGAGCAGAGCTAAGGCAGCTAAGGGGCCCGTTGTCGCCGCTGGCAACAATCACGGTGATCCCGCGGAGAGCAAGCCTGACCGGAATGAGACCGGAATCACCGGAAGCTCACTCTTAGAGCTCATTTTTCAGGCTGCAGGGCCCGGGCTTGCGGCCTGAAGGTTTCAGGTAGCCTCTTTGCTCTTAACGCCACCTTGCAAAAAACAAGTCGCAGCACTGTTGAAACAACAGTCTTGTGACGGAATTATAGCAGCCAAAACCGTTCAAACACCTTGATAGTGCCATTGAAATCCAGGTCGCTTCAGCAATTCGTAATCCAAGCGCTGGATGAAGATGGGCGGATACAGTGCCTGAAAAGAAGGTTCGAGGATAGAAGGGCATCTTGAACTTCGGACAGAGCACATTCCTTGGGAGCTGCTCTCTCCAAACTGCACTAAGCTGCCCCTTCGGCTGCCCTACCTAGTACCTCTCTTGGACTCCACAGTATTCCACAGTTTCGAGCCCTCGAGAGAGGCGTTTCAGCTGGCCGCGTCTTCTCCTGCCTCTGCATCGCCCCAGCTAATGCTGTGCACCAGGGGCGGTTCTGGGTGGTCGTTGACCTCGAGAATGGCCCAAGAGCTGGTTGTAGGGTTGATGAAGTTTGAAGGGCTATGGGGGGGTAACCGGCTGTACCCCGCAGATTAGGTGAAATTCAAGGCCCTCAACCCTTTCATACCTGCACCGCGTAGGCGAGCATGAAGCCATCCATAGAGTGCGGGTCCACACCCCACCTCGAACTACCGCTACGGGCATGTTTCGGGCTTGGAGGGACTGTACAGATACCGCGCCAAGTGAAGCAAAAAGACTTGGGGGAAACCAAGGGCGCAATGAAACACGCGTGATTTGTGGAACTTTTTGCTTCTGAGCATTTGGAGAGCCCTAACCCTCTTGGATTCTTAAAAGTACAGAGTTCTTCTCACAACCGGGCCACTTTACTCTCGCCACTCAGTCTGGCAGCAATTTGGGGCATCGGGCTCAGTAATTGGTCTTTGGAGTTTGATGCGGGCATCAGGAACCAACGCAATGTAATTGAAAGTTGGGGTTTAGGCTTCGGGGTCACGTTGAGGGGTTAACGGTTAAGGATGACAAGGTCCACTGCACTTCCAGGCTCCGCGACTGCTGCGCTCTTGCAGAGAAGGCGCCACGTAGTGTTGGCTCCGAAAGCCAGACTCGTGATGACCTACCGAGCGAATTCCGTCTTGGCAAGCTGGTTTGTGCGAACACCGCAACTACCATGAAAGCTCATGTGGAGAATCAACGAAAAAAGGAGGTTCTCGATTCGATTACGGCAGAGGCTACTTCCACATTTCCACACCGTCTCCACCTGCAGGTCGAGGGATCCTTCGCCGCCGGTGTCGGCGTTGTCCACCTGATGCTCAAGAGCACAAAAAACCCCGAGAGGTTCAAGAAGCGCTGAAGTCCACACCATCCATGGAAGACATCTCTCGTACTTGAGTATCCTTTATCCTGGGCCTTGGACTCATCCTTTGGAGACGACTTCTTGAGCGCATGCGAAGCTTAGATTAGGCTCCAAAGTCCACAGCTTCCAAGAGATACGTCATGCCGTCACGCAACGCATCGCGCGACGCACATGCAGGAAACGCCATGGAGCAGCAAAGCTCGCAGCCCTACACAAATTACACAAAAACCCTTAGTATAGGGGCTCTGATTTGAAAAGAGCCCGCGAGCCCCCCACTCTTGGCACCGGGCTTTGCCGCGGACGCCTTCCACCTGTGATTCGAGGCTGTAGGCAAGTTGAGGCAAGCTCTTGAGTAGTATACTTAGTATACATTAGTACATTAGTAATTCATCTACTTGGCAAGAAAGGAGGCTGGGGAGAGTAGGGCCGCAGCCAGGCTCTGTGCTGTTTGGGGGAGCATTTGACCTGCAGCCGAACCGAAGCACCTTGATTTCATTTCGCAGGGCCGGGTTGAGGCCGTACTCGCGGTGCAAATGCTCCACGTCCTGCGGAAAGCTGCGGTTTCTGGGTGTCACAGCTCTCAAGCTTTCAGGAATTTCAGGGTATACTCCACCTACTCTACGACGACGTGAGTCCTGTACCGGACCCGGATTGGGAGTTATTCTCCGGCTCTGGCCCTCCTTCTTTATTCCCGTCCCGGTCCGCTTCGAGGAAGGCCTCGTCGTTGAACTGACCGACCGCCTGCAGTTGACTGCAGTGACTGCAGAGGTAGCAAGTTGTGGATTTCCCCAAGCTCTCGCGCTCTCGCGACATGCCAGTGCGCCTGTGTGGAATCGCGCATTCCACGCCCGTCCTCGGGATCCACCTGACTCCCACGAGAGCGGAGATCGTCAGGAAAGTACACATGGCAGACTTCGGACTTATCAGCAGGTACTGTGTTGCAACAAGCCGCCTCGAAACCCCCGTCTGCACAGCTCATTATCACTGCTCCCGCAGATGCATCTGCCTCGAGGTCACTGTAGAGTGCCTGCAATGACTGAATTCCTGGCAGCGGTTGAAGGCGGTTTGTTGAGGCTTTCTGAAGCAGCTCAGTTGGCCTGTGTCGAAAGCTTGGGCTTGAGGCACTCTGGGCCTGGATTTAGGACACCCAGTTGGAGAATGCAAGGAATCTTGGTTCTGAACGCCATTCCTTCGATATACGCGCCGACACTCGCAACACTGCGCAACTCTAAACCTTTAAAGGTGCCAAACCTGCTTTCATTAACCCGAAGGGGGGGGGGGGAAAAGGGGGGGGGGGGTTCCTCTGGAATCCTCGAGAAAGGTGGCGCTTCGAGGCCACGGTCTTCAGGGCTTGAGGATCTGTGGAATTTCAAAACCTGTAAAGCTTAAGGTTTAGGGCTTCCCGTCCCAAGAGCTCCGGAGCCCTAGAAGGTCGGGAAACACTTAAGGACTCGGACCCGAAATCCAGCCCAAAGCCCTTGATCCTCTTCAACCTTCGGCTTTCAATTCTTATGCCCCCCTCTCCTCGCGGCAGCAGGCCCCCACTCTCTTGGCGCTGCGGGGTCGTGGACCAAACTTTGCGGCACCTCGTTAACTGAAACCGGGAAGCTTCGGAAGCTTCGAGTGTCCCTCGCGCATTTCAACTAGGTCCCGTTTGTACTTGCGTAGGCAAGGAACCTGAGGAGGGGGGCGGTACTCTGTACTCAGGGCTGAGGTCGCTGGTGCATGGCTTCGCAATCAGAGGTCGGGGGCTCTCAGGTTGCTGTCGAAGAGCTCACGCCCCAAGCGCTCGTCTCTGCCTTTTGTCTCGTGCTCGACCTGGAGCGGATTTCATGTCAGACGCTTTGTCGAAAGCCGGAAACACGACTCGTGCCAAAGAACCGCAGACCCTTCCGTGGAAACCCCAAAAAATGGCTATAGCCGCTAAACCTGGCAGAGTTATTGCTGTGGGTCCCCGTTTTAGGCTCTTCCCTTCAGCCTTGCATCGGCAGCCCTTCTCTCCCGGTGCTGGAGAGGAGTACTCCGCAGCATTGAAGCATACCTGGGAGAACCCCCCGCTTTTGGGGCGCCGCACTAAGCTCTGCAAGGCTCAGGGCATCTTATCGATCTGTGCGGGCAACTGGATCTGAGGAGAAGCCTGCAACGGAAGTGAAATTGCCTGACAAGCTCAGAACCCCTAACATCCCTTAGCCATGCTGCGAACATCTCCCGTACAGGTCTCAGATTCGCAAGTCCAGGGATGTCCACCTCGGCCGTCTGCTTATTCTGCTTGGAGTGTGAATTTGCTTAAGACAATGCAGACCACTCGCCGAAGGTTGATCCAGCGCTCGAAGGAAGTGTTGGTTACACGGCAGTGGTGTTGCAACAGGAGCTGCGGAGAAAAAGAACCAGAAGAACCAGAAGGTAAGGCTTGTATTCGGAATCTGGGTTTCTGTTGGATCGGTGCTGCCCGTACCTTCTGCCTGCCAGTCCTACTATAAAGCCCTCGACAAAAATGCAACTACCCTTTGCGTGGACATCTTCTTGAGGCCCGCTCTCTCTTTTTTCGCTCAGTTCATGTCCCATGTTCACAACAGACGCCATACCACGAGGCGAACATCGTGGTGCGCCGAGAAGTCCTCGTGCTGGATGAGACGATTCACAGGAAAATCATTCCTGTCGGCAGGAAGAGGCTTGAATGGGCTTCCTCATGACCTTCTGACCTTTCCGAGGGAATTTGCTGGATGTTTCAATCCCATACCTGGCTCAACCCTCGGCGATGCTCCACAGCATAGGGCATGTGCAGAAGCCTTTAGAGCTCCGAATTGAAACTGCCGTGCGAACGTCCTCAACATTTGGCAACGTGTGTCTTATTATTGGAAAATTTGCAAAAAGCAAATCAAAAACCAAGGTGCTGGAGCAAAGTCAACTCCAGGCTTGACCAGCTTTCCTTCGGGTGGGACGCATTCCTCAGACGGAGAATCCGGGAAGGGCGCTGTCGGAACTGTCTAAGCGTAGTCAAGTTCTATGTGCTTGCCGGGGTTTTGTTGCAAAGAGGTGATGAAAAAGCCTGCGCGTATCCTACCTTCTGAGAGCTTCTGCGAGCGGCTGCAACCATTTAAGGACCCCCAGCCGCTGCTCGCCGCAATTTTCCAAGGCCCCCCCAGATAAACCTCAGACTTCTCAGCTGCGACACTTCGGCCTGTAGATCAGCGTGATTCCGCTGCTTCGGGGCAAAGCGCGGAACTTGGAGCCGGTGCTACCTTCAGCGTCTGAAACTTCAGGGCTTGAGGTTTAGGATGAGGCTCATGTGGATCGAGGTGCGGAGGCCGAGGGTGTATGTGCAAGGTTCGCGGTAGGGCAGTCTGAGCAATGCCCCCTGCCATGCCCCCGCCTAAACCGTCGACGAAGCTCCGGGCACGGCCACGCCTTCGTCTCTTGCGGCCCAGACTGGCCAGGAGCGCAGTGGGGAGTCTTTATGGGATCGAGCAATGGGGTTTCCCGGGTGGCGGCAAGCTTCGGGGCAAGAGTTTCCCGTCCGGGGTGGTCAGTCTCGGCATAGCATGCCGGCGCCCTCCACTTTATAAAGCCATCGACCCCCACGCCCTGAAAACCACATAGGCCCCAAACCCTCTGTCCAACCTCTAAAGCCCAAAACGTCAGAGCCCAAAACAAACACCCTCAACCGCTTGCCGCGGAACGCGGAACCCGAAACCCTAGACCCAAGTGACCCTAGACCCCCCCTGAACCCCAAGCCCCAAACACCTGAGCCTGAAACAAATGAACTCTCAACCGGCACGGTGTCCACAGTGATCTGGTCCGAAACTGAAGATCTGAAACTGGTAAGTTGAGCCGATTAGATAAACTCCGTGGAGGGCTGAGATCCGAAACTCACCACTTCCGGAGTTCGGGGGATTTAGGGATTTAGGGATTTAGGGATTTCGGGATTTCGGGATTTAGGGATTTAGGGTTTCATTGGATCTAGGGGGTTTGGGGCGGGCTGAATCTCAGAATGCCGCTAAACACAAGCGTTCACGAGCAGAGCCCGATATACTCGCCTTGTGCAACTTGCACTCCCCCCCCCCGCCCTTCTCCACCCTCCCCCCCTCCCCCCCCTCCCCCAAACTTGTACAACAGCGGCGCGGCCTGGACACTCCCAGCTTCGTGTCGTTGACCTTTTCGGTTCTGTCTGAGAGGCTGCTTGATGCATAGGCGGCCGAAGACGATCTTTGAAAGACTCACCCAAACAAGCTTTTTTTAAGACACCCTCAGACTGAGCCCCCCAATTCCCTCGATGAAGCCTGGACCCCCAAAAAGCCCTTGCCAAAGCGCGCCCAGAACATCGCCGGGCTCGAAGCACTGCCAGGGCTCCTTGAGCTTGAGGAGCTTTTGGGGCTTCTGAGGGCTTGAGTCTGAGGGCTTTCGGAGGATATCTTCGTGCAGTGGATATGGGATTCGGGGCGAAACGAACTTGATGCACGAGCCCTAAGCCCTAAGCCCTAAGCCCTAAGCCCTAAGCCCTAAGCCCTAAGCCCTAAGCCCTAAGCCCTAAGCCCTAAGCCCTAAGCCCTAAGCCCTAAGCCCTAAGCCCTAAGCCCTAAGCCCTAAGCCCTAACTGCGCGTCCGACGAGAGACCCCGCCTTCTTTTTCCCACGAGTGGCAGAGGCCGGCCGCCAGCAGATCCAGCCCGCGAAGTCGCCCTTGCCTCTCGAGAGCTTGTATTTTTGCCATCTTAGTATAGAGAACCAAGCGGCGCTTCGGCCTCGCAAGCCTCGCGCTTCTCTTCTCCTATATGTGCTCCGCGACTAGAACCCCTTCGACATGAGGCGTCTCTCAGAACTGCAAACCTCGCACCCAGTGTACCCTTTGACTCCTTTGATCTTCAACGCCTTTATTTTGGGGAGAGACGGAGGCACAACACAAGAGGAGGCGGCAATTTTTCCGGGGGGGATCCATGAAGAGCAAGAAGCAGGCTGCTTTGGCCGTCGTGTTGGTGGCGTTCCTCTCCTTGCTGTGATTGCTCACATGCCTTGGGCCGAGAAGGGATGTCGGGTCTGAGCTGCCGAAGACAATTTACAGGATCCCACAGCATCCAACAGCCCAATCCGAAACTCCTCAAAATCTCCAAAGTCTCCCAAGTCCGAGGCTCCATCGGCAGGGCTTACGGCAGGCCGCCTCTGTGCGGTTGTGGCAGAGTCTGTCCGGGGCCTTGGAAGCAAATTTGGAGAAGCTCTGCCATGCTCTGCCACTCTGCCATGCAGTGCGGGGAGCATTTCAGTGAGGCACAAGAAGGCGCTCAACTGAAGACCCTTTGCCGCTCTGCCATTGAATATTAACAGAACAGATTGCAGTACCCTGGCTTGAAACGGACGAAAGCTCCAATTAGAGAGCAAGGCGCACTTCGGTCGAACGGATCTTCAGGAGCTTAGGCACTTAGGCTTTCGAGAGCTACGGGGAACATGAGCCTGGGAAGATCAGGCCCGCTTTCGCACGAATGCTTCATGGCGTGCGGGTGAAAGCCTCACACCAACTTCCCAGCGTCGATTGACAGTTACGTCCCGGATGCATCACGAAACCCTCCGAAGATCTTGAAGCATCCTATATTGAAGCGTACATTTGTCCCGAATTGTCGGGCTGAACCGTTGCCGAGTTCGTGCCGAGAGGCTGGCGGGGTCAGCAGCAAATTGGCTTCCAAGGGCAAGTCCCCTGCCGGAGCTGCAGCATCCGAGCCTTTTTCATGCTTTGGGGTAAGTGGCACGGGGGGAGATCAAGCTCAAATTGCCCAGCGAGCAAGGACCCCGCCAGTTGACCCTCAAGTGTAGTCCTAAACCCATCCCTTGGGCTTGAAGGCCGAGGGGCGGCAAGGTTTCGGATCCAGGGTTGAAGTTAGGGCTTTGGTTTCGGAGGCAGGATCCTGGGTTACGTCTGCTGCTGGTGCAAGGAGATTCGAGGCGACCTTGCATTCCAAAAAGGGTTTAGGGTTTAGACTTCGTTAGGTTTGTTTGGGGCAGGTACTGAAATGCCGATGTCATCAGGGGAACCATAGTGGAGTTTGGTAGATCATGGCAGATTTGGTTCATCCATAGGCATGGGCTCTTTTGAAAAGCACGATGTAGGGTGATTGCAGCGCGTCATTTACCTTCTTGATGGTTGCCCCACTGCATCTCGCAGCCGTTTGATGGCCATGGGAGACGAGGACATATGTGCGTGACGATTTCTTTCGGGGTGGGGGGGTTGAGAATTTTGTTTGGTCCTTAGAGTGTGTGTCTGTGCGTGTCTCCTGTGTCGACGTTTGTTCCTGTGCCCTGACACGGTGGCAGATTTTTTTTTTCTAAGAGGGGCGTTTACTGGGCACATGTGCCTTGGCTTAGGGCCGCCCGTTTTTTTTTTTTTTCCACCTTGACTGAGGACACCCCTGAGCCTTGGGCCTTAGATGGGTTTAGGAGGTTGGGGGATTGGTGGTTGGTTGTTTGTTGATTTTTTTTTTTTAGTTGTGCAGATTCCTCTCGGAAGCACCTTCCAAAAATGTGCTCCTGAGCCTGAAATGGATTTAGGACGAGCGTGCAGGAATGCATGATGCGTGCATGTGCCTTGGTTTGGGGCTGTGCAGATTCCTCTCGGAAGCACCTTCCAAAAATGTGCTCCTGAGCCTGAAATGGATTTAGGACGAGCGTGCAGGAATGCATGATGCATGCATGTGCCTTGGTTTGGGGCTGTGCAGATTCCTCTCGGAAGCACCTTCCAAAAATGTGCTCCTGAGCCTGAAATGGATTTAGGACGAGCGTGCAGGAATGCATGATGCATGCATGTGCCTTGGTTTGGGGCCGCCCGTTTTTTTTTTTTTTTTGCCACTGTGTGTGTGTGTGGGGTGTTGTTGTTGATGGAGGGTCTTGGTTGCTTCTGGTGGTGCTGCACGTGTGCGCCTTGACTAAGGACACTCCTGAGCCTTGGATGGTTTGGGATGCGCGAAGTTTGGTTGTTGGTGGTCGGTTGGTTTGTTGTTCGTTTTTTTTTTTTCTCTTCCGGGCCAATGCGTGGTCGCGTTTCTGTGGTGTGTTTGTTGTTTTCGGGTCTTGGTTGTTTAACTGTACTTCACGCATGCGCCTTGACTAAGGACACCCCTGAATCTTGGCGGGGGTTGGGATGTGTTGGGTTTGTTTGTTGGTTGTCGGTTGGTCAGCTGTTCGATGTTTCGTAGCGTGCATGCGTGGTTTTGTGTCTTGGGTGGCTGTTTACTATACCGCACGCGTGCGCCTTGACTAAGGACACTCCTGAATCTTGGAGGGGTTTGGGATGTGTCTGGTTTGATTTTGGTTGGCAGTTGGTCTGTTGTTCGATGTTTCGTCGTGTGCGTGCGTGGCTTTGGTGGCTGTGAGTCTTGGTTGTTTGCTGAGTTACTGCACGTATGCGCCGAGGCTAAGGACACTCCCGAGCCTTGGAAGGGTTTGGGATGTGTGGGGATTGGTTGCTGGTTGTCAGTTGGTCCGTTGGTTGCTGTTTCGTCGCGTGTATTGTGTGCAGACCTACTGCACGCATGCGCCTTGACTAAGGACACTACTGAGCCTTGGATGATATGTGGGAGTTGGATGCTTGTCGTCGGTGTTTCTGTGGTTCGCTGTTGCTTCGTGGGCGTGCGTGGTTGTGTGCTTGTGGCGCGTTGCTTTTTGCACGTCTGGATTGTTTACTGGGCTGCTGCACGCATGCGCCTTGACTAAGGACACTCCTGAGCCTTGGATGGGTCGAGGATGTGTGGGGATTGGACGTTGCTTGTTGTTGTTGTTGTTTTTTTTTTTGTTTGCTGTTTTCGTGGTGTGCGTTCGTGGTTGTGTGTGGTGTGTGTTGTGTGAGATGTGCTACCGCACGCGTACACCTTGACTGAGGAGACCCCTGAGCCTTAGATGGGTTAGGAGGTGGGGAGATTGGTGGTTGGTTGTTTGTTGATTTTTTTTTTAAGGGATTGTTGTGCAGATTCCTCTCGGAAGCACCTTCCAAAAATGTGCTCCTGAGCCTGAAATGGGTGCAGGAATGCATGATGCATGCATGTGCCTTGGTTTGCGGCCGCCCGTTTTTTTTTTTTTTTTTTCTTTTCCACCTTGACTGAGGACACCCCTGAGCCTTGGGCCTTAGATGGGTTTAGGAAGTGGGGGCATTGGTGGTTGGTTGTTTGTTTGTTTTTTTTTCTTTTTTTTTAAGGGATTGTTGTGCAGATTCCTCTCGGAAGCACCTTCCAAAAATGTGCTCCTGAGCCTTGGATGGATGTAGGATGCGCGTGCAGGAATGCATGTGCCTGTGAGTGTTCAGAGAATGTTTTGGGTATGGTTCTGCAATGACCGAAAAAGATCATGGAAGTTGCGCCTTAACCAAGCTTGCAGTGACTCATGACGACCAGCAAGTACATTTGAGGGCTTGCAACTTGTTGAAAGATCATGAGCCGCGTTGCTTGTGACATTGAAGGCTCTTGGCCTGTTTCGGTAGTTTTTGGGCGTTTTCGTGGGAAGGTAGGGTAGATCCATGGATCGCGAAGCCATCTGCAGAGTCAATGCTGCTTTTGAGTGCTTCTTACACCAACTTGAGATTGAGCATGTTGGCCGAGATCATTTCACACCGCAATCCTATGAGATTGACCCATGTCATCCCCACGAAGCTACTGCAGAAGATTCTTCTTCTTCACGTAGCAGGTCCCGTTCACCTTTGCCGAGATTGAGGAACGCAACCTGTACTCAAGCGTCAAGTGTCGTGAATGTACTCCCCGATGCGATCCATGAGCTCCTAGCGAAAAAGCTTGAGGACTTTAAGCAGGAAATCTTTGCGCATGTCAAGGTCACAATCCCCGAGGTTGTGGCTAGTCTCGTCAACGCTGAGCCTCGTGTAGAGCCAAGTGCAGTTGAAGAGACCTCGCAAAAGGTTTGGGACTCCGGCGCGAAAGAGTCGCTAGCCCATGACCTCCAGGTTTTGAAGACAGACTCGGCCATCTTGAAAGCGTTAGACAATGTCTGCTCAAAGCTTGCGGAGCTAGGAGGAAATCACCGTTCAAATATCACTGCCACGTTTCACCCAATGCCTCCCATTGTTTCAGCAGCAGCCCTCCATGCAAAAGTTGAGGCTGCTGGAATTAAGGTGTTAAAGAAAGGCGAGCCGAATGCGAGAATGCCTTATGGAGAGGTGGGTGGACAGAAAGGTCAGCCCAGTGTTTCGATTACTTTTTCGCCGTCAGTAAAGCTGACAGTGCAAGTTCACAGCCGCTTGGTCCAAGTGGTGCTGAAGGGGCGTAGGTCTTGCTTCACGCATGACATTTTGAGAAAGCTTTTGCCCTTCTTTGGGCCTGTTTCCACGCTTATGAGTCCCACCAGTGAAGCGTGAGGCTCGTTTCAACTTCTACTCGAGACCGCTTGCACCTAATTTGAATACTTAATTTGTCGATGTGGAACACCACATGAATGTACCATGGGACGCGGTATGTGAAATTGGCAGCGAGCCGTTCCTAGATCTGGTTCTTCAACCGCTAGACTTTGCCCGTGAAGTGGTGTTATTGAAGATTTGTGCCTTGCACTCATTTTTTTTTCTCTCGCCTTCATGAGGTTTTTTACGCCCGGGGCTTTTTACCTTTCAGCCTTAATTGCAGCCATGGACGATTCGATACAACTGTGTATCCAAGAGCTTCGCCATATCTGGTCGGACTGGCTGGCCAGTGTGCCGAAAAGAATGGAGGTCAACGCTGCCCTCAAAGATATTCGGGGGCTCTTTGAGTTAGCCCCGCAAAACCCTGGGAACCTAGCCTCCAATGGACAATCCCGTTTTTTGAGACTGGCAAAGCTTTCTGAATTTGTTTCTGCGTTAAAGGGTTTCTTGAAGCACGTGGCCATTCCAAGTGCTGCACGCAGCACCACAAGCAGAGTGGCAATTGAATCGCCCTACATGGGAGGCACCTTGGTGGACCAATATGAACATAAGCAGGAAGGGTTCCAATGTTCTGAGCTCACCTTTGCTGTCCTAAATCCGGGGCGCTTGGGGTTGAGCCGCATTGCTAGTGAAGAACTCCTCGTATGGCGGCTCTTCCACATTTGCTCCGTTTTAGTGGACAAGAACATACAGGTTTGTATCCTTCCTGGGGCCAGGTGGCCCCCCGGAGCGGAAATTCCTGCAGGCTTCCCTTTTGAGTGGCTTGGTCTGCAAACTACCTCATGGGAAGCAGTGGGTGTACTTGTTGCGTCAGAACTGCGTTTAGAAGTTTCTGTCATGGAAGACATGGGTTCCCCAGTGATCCTCTGGCTGATGTTCCGTGGCCAACGTTGGCAGCGACAGGGTCCTGCTCTTATTCTGGGAGCCATCTATCCCAAACCAGGGGGTGACTTACAGACTTGGCGGCAAATTCTTTCTGAATTCGACATTATCAAGACGAAATACCCTTCATCCAGAATTGTAATTGCAGGTGATGGCAACGTTCATCTGCAAGGTCTTGTTCACCACTCACCAGAATGCAGCTGTCTACATTGCTGCCAAAGGCTCAATGACAAACTCATACAGCTGGAAATTGAATCCCGTAACCTGGTAGCATGCAACCCGCATTTCCCGACGCATGTCAGTGGGACGATTATCGACCTCGTCCTAACTGACAGGTGCCAACCCTTACCAGTTGATGTAGTCCAAGAGGACATTGGAGCGTCTGATCATTCCATGGTTATCTCACGCTGCCCCGTATCTTTGCAGGCGTCCTTTGAATCATCTGTTGGGCGAGTCATTTGGTCCCAATCGAATGAGTGGGATGAGGCGCTAGCTTCGGCAGAGTCCTCATTTGCATTGGCTGCCTTGATTACTAATGACGTGCAAGTTGAGATTGCAGCAAACAAGCACTGTTTGTTGCCTAAGCGTAAGCGGGATTTGCTTGACGCCGCTGCTTGGATTAGGGAAGTTTTGGTTTGTTTTACAGGGCATTGCGGGGGACTTACCCGTGTTCGCGGAGTCGCCGGTCAAAAGAATCGGTGGCCACAGAGAGTGCCTAAAGTCTGTGACTTCCAGAACTATGACCAATACAAGGCAGCTGTGAAGCAATTTGATGACCAAACCAAGGCGGCCACTGTAAGCAGATATTTGTCGCTCCTGACATCTCAACCTAATCAGGCGAAAGCCTTTCTTTCTTCATGGTTCAAGAAGGACCGTGACTTTGGGTATGCTTTGGCTGAGCCTAACACTGGTGCAGTTTCAGGGGTGCAACAAACTATTTCTGCTATCCAGCATGATTTGCTGGGAAGAGCGGACAATGATTTCTATCAGGATCCAGAATGTGAGCGTGCACTTGAACAGAGTGTTCGCACCATTCACAGGCACAAAGCTGTGCCGAGAGGCATTCCAGGTCTTGCGGATGCCCCTGAAAGCAACACGGCAGTCAACGCAGCCCCTTATTCATGGCAAGAACTTGAGGAAGTGCAACGGTCTTTCCGTCTGCGCAAACAAAGTTATCGATGCGCTCTGGCAGCTGCCAAGACGAGCTGTCCCCCAGCTAAGGCTCTCAATTTGGCTTTGGTTAACTTAGCTAGGGAGTGTGAGTTAACTTCCTCGCTTTGGTGTGAAAGACGCATCACGCCCATTCGCAAGGCTGGGCCTAGAGTAGTCCGAAAGGTCACTAATCTCAGACCAATAAGTGTCGTCTCAGACATGGCTGCAGTTCAAGATGGGCTCTGGCTCGGACGTTGCAAGAAGATCTTAGAGGACTTCACTGGCGCAGCGCAACTGGGGGGCAAGTTTGAGACAGTGGCAATCGTTTTAGCGGTAATACTACACGCACAAATCCGGCACTCACAAGGGCTCCATACATATCTGCTCTTTGCAGACATACAATCCGCCTATGATGCTACGGATCATAATGCAATGCTGCTCGCAGCTTTTCATGCAGGAGTGGTGGGTACAGAGTGGTTGTTACTCTGGGACTTCCTTCACATGGACTCTGCTGTCCTCTCCCTTGGTGGGGTAGTATCAGATGCGATGTCTTTCAGGGCGGGCCTTCCACAAGGCAAGCGCTTTGCTGTTCACATCTTCACGGCTTTCATGAAGCTCCTTCAGCAAATTCTTTCTTCTGTTTGCCAACCCTCCAATTCGGTCCTGCCTAGTTTTGCAGCCGATGCTATTGCAGGGTTGTGGACGACTCTCACGCCTGTCCCAGAACTCTGTCGCCTTGAACCATTAAACGAAGGGCCAGCCATTGTAGCTAGACTTCAAAGGCTGATGTTGCAGGGTTGGGATCAACGCCTGATTCGGCGAGTGGCCATCCATGATCTTGGCCGGTTAAATTCCATCGATGAAAGAGTGCAGATCCTGGAGAACTTGGGCCACTCGCCCCTGGGACCTCTCCTCTTTATAGACGATGTGGTTGCACCGTTTCCTTCTTGCACCGAGGTCTGCAAGGCGGCAACTGAGGGTTTGGACTTGTTTGCACACACTGTTCGTGCCAAGTTTAATATGGGACCGTCAAAGACTGCCATCATGCCCTGCTATGACGCTCCTGACGTCCCCTTGGTTGACATTGCGTGTGAAACGTATAAGTTGTTAGGGGTCCAGCTTGAACGTGGTCTTTCCTTGGAAATGCGCCTTGCCCATATCTTAAAAGTGGGAAATGCTCTCTTCCAGGAGCTTATGACCATGGCTAAGCAGGCAGGCTTTCCACCCCCGGTTTTGGCAGTTGCCATCACTGAACGGGTCGAACCCGTCATTCTCTACGCCGCCGAGCTCCTGCCCTTGGTCCCCAACGCATACTCACAGCTGAACAGGCTGCAGGCTGACTGGGCGAAACAAATTCTAGCAGGCAAAGCAGGGTCTGCCATACGCGGGCCTCTTGCAGTGGCCACTGTTGGCTGGCATTTTAGGTTGGGCACTAAGGCCAAATTACGAGCTTTGGCTTATTTGGCCAAAATCAGCATTCTACCACAAGATCACCCAGTGTATCGTATGGTGACTATGGCCGAACCCATTCACAATGGTACTTGGTTGCACATGACTCGTGACCTTCTGGAGCAGTGCGGAGGAATTCCGCCTCTGCAGGACTCTGGTGTTTGCACGCTGGAAGAAATGGAACTGGCCAGATCCTGTAAGGCCTTACGGAAAACTTTGCTGCAGCGTTACAAGCGTTTAGTGTTGACTCCTCGCCTTAGTGCCTTGGACCTGACGGAATTCGCAGCTTCCGCCACTAAGGTTTTGGCAGGTCTTAACCTGAGGTACATAGACCTTTGCCCAGTTCGCGCTTGCCAAGGGTGGGATGTATTGTTGGGATGTGTCCCTGATAAGCTGTGGGATTCTGTTGAGCTGTGGAGCTTTACTCGGTTGACGGGACTGTGGCCGCTTCGCCTGTTGCTGGCGACTCCAGGACACGAAGATACGCTTTTGCTGAAGCCGTGTCCCTTCTGTCAGGCCGTAGAAGCTACGTTGCAACACTGTTTGCAAGCTTGTCCGGGCACCTGTGACCTGTTTGGGGCTTCTGGCCTATCCCAGTTTGTCACACGCCGAACGCCTGACTTCATCTCCATCCTCTTCCACTCCACCACATCTATGGAAGTGGACGAACTTAGGATCCGTTATGTGGCTGAGGTCATCAGAATTGGTATTCTGAGACATGTAGATGACGACTGAAAGACTGCTACGCCTTGTGCGTTGCAACGACCTGCCATTGCAAAATGGAGGTACCGCGCAACCCACTTTCCCTCCCTCTCAATTGCCTGTGGGCAGTTTGAGCGAGTTGAAGTGTAAGCGATGTAAGCGATTGCAAGCTTACAAGTCACGTCTGTCGAAAGTAAGCGGCGCTTGAGTCCCACGAAGGCATATATGGCGAGGTCTCACAACTCCCTGGAAAAGGGGAGGGGTGGGGGTGGGGGTGCGCGGGTTGGGGGTGGGGGCGCGGGGGGTTAAGGGCTGAAGCTCCGGGCTATTTTGACTGCGCTCGCCATCCTGAGCTAAAGTCTGCTGTGGCTGATGTGCCTTTCGGCGAGCCAAGAAGCGATTGCCCACAAGCAGGGCCCCGAGGTCGTAGGTAGCGAAGAAGTCCTGAACAACCGCGCGCCAGAGCGTGCCAGGTTCGGGCCAAAGAACCCTAGCACCCTTATAGGTCCCGTGCAAAAAACTGAGATCTCCAATCGTTTTCCGAGAACTCCAGGAGCACACGGCTCGCACGGTGGAAAAGTTTTGTGGTTTCGACACCGATCACATCCACACATCCAAAAGACCCCGAGCCCTCAATCTCTGAGCCCCTAGCTTCCCTGACAATCAATCTGTAGGGGTGCGGGCGCATGGGTTGCCCACCGAATTTGCGGATGAAAAGTGCAACGAAACCCAGGCTGCAGATGAGTTAGTAAGAGAGAAACAGGTTGTCGAGGGTACCAGGAAACCACCGCAAGGTAGGAGCAGAATCGTTCTAGGGTCCTTGCATTATGGGCATCGGGGAGCGAAGCGGGAGGAGGGGAAAAGGGTGCTGAAATGCGGGCGGGTCAGCAGCCTGCACGAAATTCGGCGAAAGCTGTTAAGGCGAGCGGCCCACGCCAAATTTGAGGTTGGTTCGGCACGCAATGCAGGTCAGTAGGCGACACGAATTTCGATTTTGGCTTGGCGGTGAAAGCGGCGCGGGCGAAGTGGCCCACACCAAATTTAAGGTTGGCTTGGGGCTGACAAAAGTCGCGCAAAATTCGAAGTTGACTTGGGGTTGAAAAGCTGTGCGGGTGAGCGGCCTGCACCAAATTTGGGGTTGGTGCTGAAAAGCCATGCGGATCAACAACCCACGTCAATTTCGAAGCTGGCTGAAGCGACCTGCGCCAAATTTGAGGTTGGCTTGGTGCTGACACGCAGTGCGGGCCAACAGCCGCACGAAGGTGTTGAAAGCTATGCTGGCTTGGTGCTGAAAAGCGGTGCGGGCCAACAGCCGCACGAAATTCGACTTTTCTTGAGTCTTGGTGTTGAAAACTATGTTCGTTTGGTCCTGAAAAGCGGTCAAGTCATCAGCCTGCACGAAATTCGAAGTTGGCTTGGTGTTGAAAGCTATGTTGGCTAGGTGCTGAAAAGCGGTGCGGGTCAGCCACCGCACGAAATTCGAAGTTGGCTTGGTGTTGAAAGCTATGTTGGCATGGTGCTGAACGCGGGACGGGCCAACAGCCCGGACGAAATTGGAAGCTGGCTTGGTGTTGAAAGCTATGTTGGCTTGGTGCTGAAAGCTATGTTGGCTTGGTGCTGAAAAACGGTGTGGGTCAGCCGCCTGCACGAAATTCGAAGTTGGGTTGGTGTTGAAAGCTATGTTGACTTGGTGCTGAAAAGCGGTGCAGGTCAGCAGCCCTCACAAAATTGAACGTTGGCTTGGGGTTAAAAGCTGGGCAACGGCCTCGCCAAATTTGAGGTCAAGCGGTGCACGAAAAAGACTTCACCAAAAAAGCAAGGCAACCACTGCGCCCGCCACCAACTATAACTATAGAACAACCTCCAAGCACCAGCGTTCGAGATCTGGCCCAGTCCGAAACGGTAAGGATCGTAGCATCACCATGCGCCACGACATGTGCCGGTGTGGTCACCTGCGTTTCAGGAGGTCACTTTTTAGCTGTGCAGACAGTGCCCTGTCACCGAACTTTGGGAACATGAAAGTACGAGCTCCCCCTGCCCAATCACGAAAGACAGCGAAACATACCTGCCAATTCTAGCCCAAAACTCACCCAAGTCGGATTGGAAAGTCTCGGCGGCCCCAACAAGAAGTGGCTTCGGTGAGCTGGATGTTTTGCAAGCCCCTTAGGACCTTGGGGTTCAAACAAAAAAACCTGGGCATCTGGGGCTCTATGCCGGGACGCATTCAGCGCAGCTGGCAGCCACGCGGCGGCCGCTGCCGAGGCGGCGGGCGCCACGGCTATGTGGGCCGCCAGTTCGGACTGCGAGACCTGGGCATCTACAGCTCCTCCAAACTTTGAAGCTCAAGCCTGCCCGTAAATGTAGGCGAACCACTTAAGCCCAGATGCATAGTGGCCGTAGGAGGGTGACGTCGGGTCCGACACCGCTGCTGCAAGCGATGCCAAAGCACTCTCACGTTTGGGCCCTGGCGTCCTTAGAATGGCTGCCCTGGGGATTTGGAGGATATGAGGACAAAGGACTCATAATTCATGATCGCTCTATGAAACTTGTGAGGCTACTCTTCAGAAGTGTTGGAATATGCTCTTGGTATGCCGGAATGCACCGTTTCTGAAGCTGTTGGCCTTGGCTATGTTGTTAGGTCGGCTCGTTTCCCAGCTCGAAGTTGTGAGAACTAGGGCTCCTGGACTGGATGCAGCCTGGTGTCAGAAACAAACCGACTGAGAAGTTTCGCTTTGCATCACGTGCGGAGACATAGACGTGCACGAGGGTGAGGAAGATCCAGCACCTCAAGGGGCCCCCCAAGTCTCAGATCTCCCATGAGGGGCTGAAACCGCTGAAAAGTGCGGAGACAACACAAACACTCAACTCAGACTCGACTCCGCGGCGTGGGGAAGCCTCCCGGTCTGGGACGGGCGCAGGGGCGCCATTGGCGCCAGTGGCATCATGGCACGGGTCGGCTGAGGAGGTGCTGTTCTGTGCTGTTATCTGGTTAGGAAGGGAGGAAGGGGGTAAGGCTTCTGGACGGCCTGTTGAGGAGGCCTGAAGCATTCGTTGGGGGGGAAGTCCTTCTGTGTTCGACATCTCCTTGCAGGCCGCATGATCACAAGAGCCACGAGGGCCCAGGGCTCAATCCCGGCTCAAAGGGCCCAGGGCTGCAGTAACAAAGCAAAGAAAAAGTAGTAGTTGTCAGATTAACATCTCTTTCAGCTGATCCACGTGACACTACATGTTTCACGGCTGAGGCTCTGGTCCTTCACAGATTCCAAGAACTTTGCGGGAAGTGTGATATGTACAACACAACACAAACTGATCAAATTCGACCAAGCCTAATGAGTCATGCACAGAAGAAGCAGGAGAACCCGCTAGAGACCGCAAAAGACCTGGCAAGAGCCCCGCGGCCTGTGCCCCGTTCGACCCCGGCGCCGACATTGACAGGAAGATCAACGGCGTATAATCGTTGAAGCTAGGACTCGCCAGACCTAGGCCCGGAAAGTCTTCATTGTGTCACAGAGTGCGTGGCATGCGGATTCACTCTGAGTTGATTCAGACTATGTATTGCCGGTATCGCCAGGCCTGGATTACCCTAATGAATCAATTTCGCATCTCTCAGAAATCATCTGAATTGGTTTGGCTACAGTAGGTTTGTTGAGGCCCGAAGTACCAAAAGCCCCGAGGAACCACAAGGTTTGCCTTCCGACTTTGAGTGTATAAGGCTTTTTTAGGCATTAGAGGCAGGCGTTGCGTGCTGCAGAATTGACAGGGCCCGCACCGGCATTTGGATCTGCCTTCGCAGCCAACGCGCTCTGAACATTGATTAGCCTGAGGAAAGGAGGGAGAAGTCTCACTCACTCCCAAGAGATGTCTCGAGCAGGAACACTAACTTCGGTCCTTGATAGCCTCCAAGTCGTCCGCATGCGACCAACCAGAGGCCCAGGCCCACTCACACCGCTCGCACAACGCAGGCCGGAAACCGAAAGTGATGCAGAGACGCTCGTGGAGATGGTCCAGAGTCCAGATACTCATCGCTACAAATGGCGACCAATGCCAACCGTGAACCCAGCCATAAAGTCCCACAGATCGAAAACACACAATCGTCAAAATCAAATGCAAAGCTCGGGGTTGTGTGTGTGTGTGTGTCTCGCCAACCATCTGGGTGAATGGCAGGTTGCTGTCTTTGTAGCCCTTTGAGCACACGTCCAGCAAACCTCAGTAGGGTTCGGGGTTGGGAGGTCGGGTCATACCATACAAATCAAAGCCTGCCCTCCCCACAACAAACTTTTCCCAGTTTGAAGCGACATGCTTGCGAACATTTCCTCTTGACTTAGATGGTTTGAGGGTTTCACCGTTTAGGGTGCAACTTAGAGCCTTGAAGGTTTCAGAGTTTTCGGGTTAGGTTTGAGGTCGCCGTGCCTGCCAAGACCCAAGAAAAAGGTTGGAGTGCAGTCGACCAGAATGTACGTAAATTTGCCCCCCCCCCCCCCCCCCTACCCACCCACAGCCAGAAATCTAGAGAACAGTACGGTCGCGTACCAACTATGGGCCAACTACGTCACCAGTAGAGAGGGGTACCTGCACTGAAACTACGTAAGGCCAAAAGAACAGCTGAAAGACACCATGGAAACCCAACAGAAGTGATGCGCCGGGAGCAAGGCGTAAAGATGCATCCGCATCGAAACCGTCAAACACGTTGATGTTTTTGACCTTGGCTGGCGAAACCGTGCAACCCACCATGCTTCAGGCAAGCACATCCTAAGATGATTGGCTGTTTCACTAGCAACTGTCTCCACCAACAGCTGGGCGACCACTCCAGCATTGCCAACGGCGTTCGGTCAAAATGAAAATGTTACGGCGAGACGTGGGACTTCAACACCGTACTAACCCAGCATGGAAGGATCATCCCCAGTAACGCCACCATTCTAAACCCTGACCTTTAGGCCCGCCCTTTGGTTTCGTAGAACGAACCCAATGTTTCACAGCCTTGTCCGTCTTCATTGACTGGGTGCCGAGCCTTTTTCCTGTTCTCGGCCTTGCGGCTCCCTGGAGCTGCAAAGATGCGTGCGGGCTGAAAAGGATGGAGAGGTTTGGAGAGCTTTGAGCTTGAAGGCTTTCAGCTTAGGAGCGCGAACCTCGACGGGTGTCGGCATAACGGCTACCACGTGAAGAACAAACCTTGACTGGAAAATGTTGGCGTTCGTACTTCAGATTTCCTGGGCATGGCGAAACTTCTGTTACAGAGCATCTCTCTCGGCCTACTTGGGAGACGGGTCATGCTGCCGCCCTGCTTCACAACACAGCAGCAGCCCCCTGTCCTTACTAGCGCCATGCACCCACCATTCATCCGCAACTTCCTGCAACTTAATGAATGAACCCCTGAATCTTCGCCCCTTGGGTCCCTGCTATCGCCTGCTTGGGTTTAATTCTGGGATTGGGATTTGGCGGATTTTGGCGGTTGCCCATTGCGCTGGTTTTGGTTTCCAGGCTTTCAGAGCAGCGCGACTTCAGCATGCTCCAACAAGAAACATCATCGCCTAGAACTCGTTCCGCCGCCACGCGGCAGCGCATCTCACCGAAAGCTTCCTGTCACGGTGCCGCAATGGCAGGCGCTCTGCAGTTGCGTCGTTACATCTTTGTGAGGAGGTCTTCGGGAAGCGGTGAGCAGGCGCACACCGCAGACGGAAATCCGAGCACCCGGCTGTGAGTTTCTCGGCGTAGGTCCTGGGTGCAGCGCTGCCGCTAGTCTCCGCTAGTCTCCGCTGGACGTAGGATGCAGTTGACGAGTGCCGAAGTCGGCCCTCGGATCCTCTAAACCTCTCTTGCCATCTCCACTCTCTCCTCCTGTCCCCCCCCCCCTTCCCCAATCGTAGGAGTAGGAGTAGTAAAAATAGCTGTAGTGGCAGTCGTAGCTGTCGTAGCAGTAGCAAGTAGCAAGTAGCAAGTAGCAAGTAGCAAGTAGCAAGTGGCAAGTGGCAAGTGGCAAGTGGCAAGTGGCAAGTGGCAAGTGGCAAGTGGCAAGTGGCAAGTGGCAAGTGGCAAGTAGCAAGTAGCAAGTAGCAAGTAGCAAGTAGCAAGTAGCAAGTGAGAAGTAGCAAGTAGCAAGTAGCAAGCAGCAAGCAGCAAGTAGCAAGTGAGAAGTAGGAAGCGGGAAGCAGGAAGTAGCAAGTAGTAGATACAAGTAGTAAGTAGCAGGTAGTAGGTAGTAGACGGTAGTAGGTAGTGGTGGCGGTGGCGGCTGCGGTTCGGCTGCGGTTGCGGTTGAGTTTGAGGTTGTAGTTGTGGTTGTTCCGGCTGCTGTTTTTGTTCTTCCTGTTCTTTTTGTTCTTGTTGTCATCATCATCGGTCGACGTCGTCGCCGGTCGTCGTCGGTCGTCGGTCGTCGGTCGTCCGTCGTCGTAGTTCTGGCAGTATTCTTATTGGTTGTTAGTTCGCACATAGTTGGTATTTGATGATATGGTTCTCTCTGTGAGGTAGACCGTCACGAACGCGACCGTTGCTTTGTAGTAGTCGTGTTAGTTGTAGCCGTAACAGCCGTCAGCGGCGCTCTTTATGAAAACAACCTTCGTGCTGCTTCACCTCTGGAGATCCTCTTGACCCATTGTCGAATGCGTCTTCACGCCCCTTGCTGTGGAGTTTTGATGAACGGAATTAACTCACGAAACTTAACTCAGAACTCCACTCTCCGCAGCACGTAAGACATCCTGAGACCTGAAGCCACTTGACAAGACTCTCAAGACAAGACCGACTCCAGAATTCAAGATTCAAGACATGTTCAAGGCTGTCTCTCCTCCACTGGCGTAGACCGATCCTCCCCTCCAGGTTCTCGTCCGCGACGACGAAGTCCCAGCGGAAACGGCCCTGGAAACCTTCGAAGATCTTTCTCGAGGCTCAGCACCCCCAGTGCTCTCAAGTCTACACTTGAACCCCCCTAGTATTCAGTCTCTCATTCTTGAACTCTTCGTGTCTCTCAACGTTTAGGCTCCGCCACAGTCTTTTTTATACATTTTCGGCTTACCCCTTCTTGGCGAACTCTCCTTGGGTTCATGCGTTCTGAACAGCAGTTTCCCAATTCGCATAGGGTCAACAACCATCCGACACTCAAACCTTTCTTGCTGGGGGCCCCTGCCGCCCAGGGCTTGCTCGAAGCGAAAGCCGAGAGCAGCAAACTCCGCTGGCCACAGGTAGTCGCCTGGGCGGCGACTTGGAGTTGCGGCCAACTTTTTGATGGGCAACCATCGTATCCTAGCGGAACAAATGCAGCGATAAAGGCTGGCCAAACCCGAAAAAGCTGAGCCCGGAACAGGCAGGCCCGTCGGACTCTACAAATAGGCGCTCCGCCCAGCTGTCCTCCGGCAATCCGATAGAATCCGATAGAGGTCTGTTTGCTCCGGCCGAGGCGTGGACTGCTGGCAGTTGGGTTTCGCAGAGCTTAGGGTTTTTTGCGGGGCCAGTGCCTTAAGTTCCCGTAAGTTCCCAATAGCAAACGTGCATAGTTGTTCTCCGCGCTTGCGTCTCCGAGAAAGGGCGTGCAAGAGTCAGTGAGATGCTGCCGGTGCTACCGCCCTCAGTGTACATTTAGTGCACGCGCGCCGGGTTCTTACAGGTCAGCTCGCCACCTCTGTGTGCCAAAAAAGTGAGAGCCCTAAGCTCCAAGACCTTCCGCTGAAGCCCCAAAGCCTTTAAAACCCTCAAGATACCGCAAAAGATATCATATAATCTGCGAAATATCTTATCTATATGTATATATATATGTGGCCGAGACCTTTAGGGTCTATTTCACGGCTGGTTCTTCTTTCAGTAGTAGTGCAATAATAATAATAATAATAATAATAATAATAATAATAATAATAATAATAATAATAATTTTAATATTATTATGAGTATAATAATACTGACCGTAATTGTAATAGGAATAATAATAGTACTAGTAATAGTAATAGGAATAGGAATA